TTGGACCAGGAACTGGTCCCCAATCGCTGCTAATCTTGTTGTTGTTGTTGTTGTTGTTGTTGTTTTTGTTGTTGTTGTTGTTGTTGTTGTTGTTATTGTTGTTGTTGTTGTTGTTGTTGTTGTTGTTGTTGTTGTTGTTGTTGTTGTTGTTGTTGTTGTTGTTGTTGTTGTTGTTGTTGTTGTTAGGGGGCGACGCTCTTTGAAAAAACCCTAAGGCTCCCGTCATTACTTGTCCGATCGGAATGAAACTTGACATAATTATTCTAAGCAATATTCCGCATCGATTGACGGTGTTCGATTTTTCATTTTTGACTTTAGAAGCGAAATACAAGCAATTTTTGACTGTATTCGTAGCAATTAATATATACATATCATTAATATTCAGCAAATATATCAGCAAACGCAAATGATAAGAAAGACATTGTCTTTTCTATTGTTCGTTGTGAACACAATCACAATAGTCTAAAGCTTCTCAAGAATGTGGACGGCTAATTATAACGATTAATTATAAGCGTTAAGACTTAAGTTGACTAATTTAACACGCTGGCTTAGTTTCTCAAAGCGCAGAGGAGTACTATACTCCTATCTGGCTATCATATAATATTCATAGTCATGCATAGCCAGAAAATCGCGAACCATAAAAACAAAGACATGTCAATTTGTTTTTAGCACAAGCATGCAGTTATGAAGCCATTACCAAGCGAAATGAACTGCATTAACCTATACTATAGCAACAATTCAGATAATTTGTTACCTTAACTTAAGTCCCGTTTACACGGCACGTATACACGACTGTAGCTGCAATATTTTGCAATGGCACGCACGGCACGGCAAAATTTGTTACGGCAAAAGTTAAATTTAGACACGGCATGTTTAGTCTTAATACTGTGGGACATTTAACTTATCTAATTCCAATACGAGTATATAGTTACTTTTGAAAACTGCGCATTTAGTTATCTATATGCTTTGTCCAGATTTACACTCATTTATACACGGCATGACTAGACACATTTTTTGCTCGGATAAAGTTTATCTTGCATGACCAAATTAAAGCAAAACATTTAGCGAACTCAGTCTACGCTGCCATGCAATTTTGAGACTAAAGTGTCTAGTTATTTGTTTATCAAGTCAAATCTCGAAGGTTTTGAACATTTAACGACTTGCACAAGATCGAAACTGGGTCACGCAGTTCCTGGTCCACTATAGTACGATCGTACTTGTTATTATCACTCCCCCCTTCCTCCATGACAGTTTACTGGTACTGTGTACACACTTTCAATAATTTACACATGTTTCCTTTGCCCCAAAGACACATTCTCAGGAATTACAACAGAATTCCATTCCTTTCGTGATTCATGAGAATAAAGCATCCAGGCCAAGGAAGTATTGGATAAGAGTGTATGAAGGAAAATTGTAACCAGTTCTCTTAATCCAAAGTTAATAAAATCTTCCCAATAATATAGACATGGATATCTTTTACATCAGTTCTATTCCCTAAAGTTTTGAAGTAAACATACATACAGAAACACACAAACCAAAGCAGTAGATTAAATTTTATCCCAAGGCTGTTATTATTGTTAGTTTATTGCTATTGATGACCTTTCATTTTCTTACCTAGCTCTATATAATTTTTTCACATCCCGAAGATCGTCTTTGGTAATCTTACGCTTACTCATACGTTTTTAGGCATGTTGTGCAAAGATGGTTTATTCTATGCCAACGTTTTTTACCAAATTCTGCCTCCACATATTACTCTGCAGACTAAAGCATATGTCACAGTCAGTAAGCCACAGACCTTAAGATTTACAACTTCTCCCCCATCACTTTTCGATCAATTTTCATCGAAAGCATGCATTATTGCTAGCCTTTTCCAATTTTGCCATTTTGACGTTCTTTTTGATACTGTATAAACCAGGTTTCTCGAAAGGTTCACTACAAACGAAAGCTTGTACATAAAAAGGCTAGTTTTTCCACCATTTCCTTGTTTTTTCCGTGGTTCTAATGGGAAAATCCATTTGAGTGTCCTGCCCCTAGCTAGCGCTCGAAAAAAACTTGCAAATAATATCATGTTTCTGTGTAGTTTCTTGTATTCATTGGTACAGAAAAATGTAAACAACGACCACGTTTTAAAACTGTGAAATAAGAAATAAAAGGAAATCCGCTCAAGAACCATTGCGTTATGTCTCAAATGATCGATCGGTTTTCACAGTATCGGATCACAGTATCGCACATCGATATTTCGCGTTCAATATTGAATTAAAAAAATCCACGATAAAATTCAATATTTACACATGTTTCATTGAAATCTTTCGCTTTCAAATAAAAAAAACTTTCAAGGCTGACATAAAGTCTTAGAATACGATATTGTTTACGTTTTTAAATTTCAAGCATTCTGATTGGTCAAGAGCAAAAATATCAAAAAACACGCTTGATTGGCTTAGAACGAAATAGGCCCTTGTTACAACGCCATATAATAAAAAAACTTGCTGACCTCGGCTGCTCTGACTGTACGGGAAAATATGAAACTTCGGCCTTGCCATACAGTCCTCATTCTTGGCCAGTAAGTTATTAATATTGGATATTAGTTAGCCTGCGTGGCAGGCTCATTGAAGGATGAGCCTGCAACAATCTCAAGAAAATTTGGTCTTTCGCGACCGTGAGAGGACGCGAAAATGGTATTGCATGCCTGAAATAATAATATATGCCAAAAGAATCGTCTGTGACGCAGTAGAGAGTTTAAGCTTCGCGTTATACGGCACGCCAAACGCCAGGCAAAGAAAAATTTTACGATATCAGGCTATAAAGAGTAAATGAACTTGGTGTTTTAAAACTGCAATGCATGACTGTTCTTTCGACACAAGAAAGAAAATATGAAACGAAAACGTTTAAAAAATTTTGCGAAGAAAGTTCGAACCTGCCGTTTGCCGTTCCCGGAAACGCGAAGCTTAAACTCCATAATGTTTATGCACTTTTTATGGAAAGCGTATAGTTTTGAAAGAGTACTGTGAATTTGGATTTTAAGCTAAAAACTGAACAACTGCAAATCGTTGAGATGTTTTGGCAAGTTTTCTCATATTTGCCTTGACAAGTCGAAGAACATGGATACAAACCAATGCACGTATTGGTATTTCTTTGAATATAATAGCTATAACCGATCAACTATCAATTTGAAATACTGATCGACAAAAATAATGTGTATCCTATTAAAGTTTGGAATATCTATTTATGAAACTTACTACTCGATCTACAAACGTGGCTTTTATGTTATTATTAAACTGTGGCGATTCCATACTTTATTTATTTAGAGTTTTACAACAGACTACATGCTACAGTGCAATTTAGTTTGTATTGTGATTTTTTTGTTATTGTAAAATTTGTAAACGTTGCTGTTCATTAATTAGTTGTCTAAGCTTCCAAAACACCGCCTTTCGTCAACAGGTTTTTTTTACCATCTGCATAAAACACCCACCAGCTGCCTGGAATCATGCAAGTGAAACGCAAAATACAGTTTTTAAACACACATATGTTAACTCAGAGTAGTTGTATAGCATATAAACACACATTGTCAAGAAGCGGAAATATACTTACAATGTCAACTTAACAACATTTTTCCTACTCTGCTATTGACTTTTTTTAAGTAGCGATCCTAAAAAGTAGCGATCAACCGAAAGTAACGAACCCCAAAGCCGAAAGTCTATACTCTTACACTAACTAAAATATAAGACACTATTACCTTGTTTTTTATGTACGTTGGCAAGCATTTGCTGAATGTTTCCCCCACACCCGTGGCAAAACTTGTGTACATTGGTATCAAGTTCAATGTTACAGTTCGGACATAATTGTACTCCACTGTCTGAAAACAAAAGCAGAACCAAAGTTAATTGCTATATTATAATTTTTTGATGAAAAATAAAACTTTAAATGAAATGAACTTTAAATGAAATATCAGAGCAAAATAATTTAAAATTATACTCTGAACATAATGCTTTTTTGCATTCATAGTTACCTAACCTATAAGCACGCGTAATTATTTGAAGAAACAAAGTACTTCATACGTTAACTCCACTGTACACTATTGGTGTACTATCGTTCTAACACAATTAATCCGATTACTGTTAAGGAGAAGTAATTATTTATGTACGGGATGGAATGATGGATATCTTCTAGGGGCTTCGGTGGCGCAATCGTCAGAGCAAGCGCCTTTCATCTCCGATATTGTGGGTTTGATCCTCACATCAGACTAATGACACTTATGTGAAAAGAGTTAGTTAACGCTCTACCGAAAGTCGCGGGCTTTCTCCGGGTACTCCGGACTCCCCCAAAGGGAATGTTGACAGGGTCGGTTGGGAATAGCCCCTAACTGACTCTTCCACTGTAGCTGCTCTACGTGATCAGACATAAGTCCTAAGGTGGCTGCCAGAATTAAAAGCGCCTTTAAAAAGCCTTCGACTCCATCAGGATGAGTAGCATCCTTTGCA